GGTCGTTGGTCAGGGCGCCGAGCGTCCACTGCACCACGATTTGGTAGGTGGCGTAGATGATTCCTGTTGGGCGTCAGTCTTCAAGGCAAGGTCTGGGTACAAGAGGAATGAAAGGTGGAAAAGGGGGAAGTTGTCGTGAGGTTAATCCCATCTATTGGTGGGTATGGAGGAGAACGTACCAGAGAGCAAATACAGAACGAATCCGGCACCGAAGCCGCTGTCGGTCCAGTCGATTCCTGGAGGGGTGTTTTTCTGTCGGTTGACGTCGTTACGCGTGATCCACGCGGCCAAACCGGCATTGGTGGCCAGACAGATGGTGCCCATGATGACAGCGCCGATCATGCCTCGAGTCCGGCGTGACTTGATATATTTCGTGTCCATGATCCACGCAAGCAGGAGCGGGCACGGCATCATGATGAACTGAAACATGACATTGTTGAGCGACCGCGTCCGCAGGTTGAAGTAGTATCCGTTAATGCTGGAGAGGAGGGCCTTTAGGTTTCTCTATGTCAGTGACAAATGCCTTCTCCGACATTTTGCGCCAGCAGCAAATGGGAGGGAGGCAAGACAAAGGCAAGAGGAGCAAAACTCACCAGGTTCATCTCGGCGACGAAGATGCCGGGGATCAGGGCGAGGATCTTCAAGTCGGTGAACCACATGATGAGACCCTTGATCTCGTCCATGACGCGCGGCTGCTTGAAGATGGCGATGTGGGTGCCGTCGTCACGTACGACCTTCCTCGGCGAGATGATGAAGACCAGTGCGATCCCGATGGCCAAGCACATGATGACGATGCTGTAGCGATGGGTAAGAACATAAACTCTCGGGAACAAAACGGTGAGGACTCACAAGACAGTGTACACGGCGTTCGATACACCAGTGGACTCGGTCTGCTGGAAGTTGACCCCAAAGGCGATCAGACTGCCGACGGTACCACCAAAGGAGGTAAAGACCCATTGCCAGGTGATGAACTGCGGCTCAATCAGTCCCGATGATCAAGACAGGGTCTTTGGCACACGGAGAAAACATACCAGAGCCTTCTGGTCTTCTTCGGCGTAGGCAAACTGGACAAACCCGGCTGCGGTCCAGAGACAACCTGCGGTGACACCGAGGAAAGCACCAGCCAAGTACGGGAACCAAGAGTGACCTTGTCGGTCAAAGTACCACAGACCACCCACGTACAGCGGGTAGCCGAGGGCACCGAAAGCCATGGTCAATTTTGGGCCGATCAGGTTGAGGATAGCACCTCCGATCCAGCCGAAGAGGCAGAACAGACCATATAGCACGGCATTGGTGGTCGAGGCCACTGTTTGAGACGAAGGACGTCCGCCACCGGCACCGAGACCGGTCAGGGCCAGGTAGATACCTGGGAGGCAGAAGAGGATGGCGCCGACCACGAAGTTTTGGTTGATCGGTCGGTTCAGGCGAAAAACGCCTTTCCCTAGGGAAGGCTCTATGAACTTCATGGTGTGCTGGTCGGAATGGGGGCCCAGTCACGACTCGATGCGTGTCGGTTCTGCAGAGGGTCAAATTATTGAGGACTCTTGTGTGAGCTTGCAAAAGTTCAAAGTCAGGCAGCACCGGAGCGGGAAAGGGAGCAGCGGTCGCCGTCCTTATATCTCTGTCATTCTCGGGCAAAAGTGCCAGTCGTGCCTCAGCCATCCTTTTTGGTGAACCTGTTGCCGGAAAGGCTATGAAGGCAAGGATATCAAAGTTGATTATCTTGGTGGCGGCCAATGTTGGGTATTGGCACCCTGGATGTCTCGTCTTATCGTCTTCTTTCGTGCTTAGGCCGTAATCTAGTCCCCTCGGTCATGCCGCTGATATGCGTGATTCGCTCTCATAATGTAGGCCAGTCACGGCCAGTATGATTTGACAGAGTGTGGTACGTCGGGAGATCGACGTTGTACGAGGGCGTCCACCCAGCAGTAGTGCCAATGATAGCCAAGGGTTGGCCAAGGGTGTCAGGGGTCTTGGAGGTTGTATATGATAAAGGTGAGCCAATAGCACCGGCATCGGGTCCACTCCAGGGATAACGAGCACAACCAGGTATTGAGGGATCAACCATCATCTCTCTTTCCTAACCTGGCCGCAGACTTCGATCGACAGTCGGGGAAGAGCAAACACGTTGCTGTCTGTGAAAGTTTGGGGATGCGTTTGATCTCCATCTTGGAGTCAACCTGTGGCCATGTGTCGGGACAAGGTTGCAGATACCGGGTCGGATTTATCCCGGTCGCGATACTCCGCTGGCTTGGTCTATCTCGGTCTCAGTGAGTGCAGACTGAGGAGATGTTATCTCAGCATTCCGCTTCGCGCGAGAAGAGGGGCCAGCTTCAGATGAAAGAAGTTTCGTCGACGAGAAATAAGGCAGACGCCCAGACAAGGTGGTGAAAACCCTCTTTCCTTCGTTGATAAAAGGGACGGCCAGGTCGAGTCAGTTCCGTCTCGCCGACCAGAATATCGTGATCCCTGAACCGTGGTACAAACGATCTCCTTGTTCCTGCTCTTCTGGCGACGATGATTTCGAAACCGTGGATTGAGAAAGCGAAAAGCGCTCGCGACTATCGAGACGAGACTCTGAGCAAAGTTGAGCCTCCGCTCGGGTCTCTCCCCGATCCCCTCCCGCTGTCTTCTCAGGACTTGCCAAAGGAGTATCTGACGCCGCGTGAGTATGAACTTACCCAGAACTATGACGCGATTGAACTCCTCGAGATGCTGCGCAGCAAAAAGCTCACGTCCGAGGAGCTCACCCGGGCGTTCTTGAGGAGGGCTGCTCTGGCCCAGTATGCGGTATGTAATGCTTCCCGACCTGAAGCTTGCCGGCCCATGGATGCTGAGTGATGATCCCTGTTACAGGTGAACTGCGTGACTGAGTTGATGTGGGATGAGGCCATTGAGAGGGCCAAGTATCTTGATTCCCTCCCCGAGCCCATCGGACCCCTTCATGGGCTGCCCATCTCGGTAAGTGGAAACTCCCAGGATGATATCGACTAGGGATAAGCTCATCTGTGGTTACAGGTCAAAGAACACCATGGGATGAATGGCAAGACCAACCACGCCTCCTACGTGGCTTGGATTGGCCAGCCGAGTGACCGAAATCCGCTGAACGATTACTTGTACGATGCTGGTTGCGTCTATTACGTCCGTACCACCGGGCCTCAGACTTTGATGTCTCTTGAATGCGACAACAATGTTTATGGAAGAACCGTCAATCCCTGGAACCGGAACTTGACATCGGGTGGTAGCAGCGGCGGAGAAGGTGCCCTTGTGGCGTTCCGCGGCAGCGTTTGGGTGAGTCGAATTCTCTGCTTGGCTCTTGTTTCCTCCAAAGGGGCATGTGTCTGCCCTTGATGGACACATCCACAGCTGGGCCCAGACCTTGACAAGATGGGACCTTCTGCTAAACATTCGACAGGGACTTGGTGGAGATATTGGGGGCAGCGTGAGGGCTCCAGCCAGCAATTGCGGAGTATATGGTTTCAAGCCAACCTCGAAGCGCATCCCATTAAAAGGAATGAAGCATGTGATGAACGGAAAAGACTCCGTCCTCGCGACTTTTGGTCCACTAACCCAGAGTCGGGAGACGATCAACTTGTTCATGAAAGTCATTTTAGACAATGAGCCGTGGAGATATGATCCATCTCTGACGGTGAAGAAATGGACCCCGGAAAAGCTGACCCGGCCTCTCAAGGTTGCCATTGAATGGTCTGACGGGGTAGTCAAGCCCCACCCTCCCATGATTCGGGCGCTGAAAATGGTTGCCGATGCATGCAAAGCTGCAGGGATGGAAGTGGTGGATTGGGAACCCTATAAGCACGACAAGGCCTGGGATATCGTGTCGGCGCTGTATTTTCCAGATGGCGGCGAACAAATTCTGGCGCCGTTGAAAGAGATCGACGAGCCCATCCTTCCGCTGACCAAGTTCATCACCGAGGAGCAGCCCAACGTCAAGAGTCTCACCATGGCCGAATACTGGGAGCTGTGCGTCGAAAGGGACAAGTACCGCGACGAGTATGCCGCTCACTGGAGCAAAACCGCCGACTCGGGACAAGAAGTCGATGTCATCATTTGTCCTGCAACACCTGGTGCTGCGCCGTTGCATGAAACGGCAAGATATTGGCCGTACACCAGTCAGTGGAACTTGCTGGACTACCCGGCGGCTATCTTTCCTGTGACGTTTGTGGATGTGGAGAAGGACAAGAAGGAGGAAGATTACGTCCCGATGAACGAGCAAGACAAGTACAACCACAATTTATATGAGCCAGAGAAATGGGTTGGGGCACCTGTAAGCTGTTGCATTGTCGGAAGAAGGAACATGGATGAAAAGGTCATCGCAGCGCTTGAGGCGGTAGAGAAAGCTATGGGAAGGAAATAGATTCTGTAGCCGCTTGGTGTTCAATCCTGTCTAGACAGAAGCAGTCAGCAATGCCTTCTTCTCAGAGGGTGCAATACGACATCTCGTATCTCAAGCACCTATTGTCTTTCCTGTTGATAGAACAAGCGTCCTAACCACCAAACCGTCACTAGGTCGAAATCAAAGTCCAGCCAAGTATGCTTGGAATTGGGTAAATCAAGCTTGTCAGGTTAGCTGACTCTCTTTCCCTTTTGAGCACAACGAACGACAAGGCGTTGGTTCTCCAAACTTACTGTTTCGCAGCCCCCCACACTGACCTGAACCCTGATAAGCACTCTCTTTCCCAATCGGGCCACAACGAAAACAGCGTCCAAATCGGCCTGCCGACAGAAACTGCGATACCAGGCGAATACGATGCGATGGGTGACTTTCGAGACCTTACGTGTGCGGTTGGACTGGATTGGTAGGCAAGATTCGAATCCGAGGCTGGGCTCGGCAAACAATTGTTGCGTGACACCATTTGCCCGTTGGGCTGACGTGGCTCTTGTGTTCTGAGGCAGTCTTCCGTCGATGGTTATATGTAGACTTTATCCTGTTCACAAGTCCCTGAGCACTCAGTAGTGTGATCCAACAACATACCTTTACAATGGCGCCCTCCGCAGTCGAGGTTCCTCTCCCGATCCCCAAGTCTTTCTCAACCCCGACAAGCACGTCTCAGTCGACCCAGAAGGAAGACCTAAAATCTCCCTCTTCACAACTTCCCGAGGTAAAGGTTTTCAACGCATCAACATGTACAGTGGACGAGCTGGTGTCTGCGCTGCGAGTGGCTGGCGGCGTCGTCATTCGTGGCATGCTGAACAGTGAAGAATTGGCAAATCTTGAAAAGGACACTCGACCCTGGCTGGAAAAGGATAAGGCATGGGATGATGGTGAGTTTCTGCATCTGAAATATCTTATCATGGATTGCCCCGGCGCAACGGCCTGGAATGAGAGGATATATCGCTGGCACACATGCCGATGGTACCTCGAGCAGTGTTGATGCTGAACATCGAACCCCCTACAGGAGATTTCTTCCCCAAGGAAACCCGCAGGGCATTTGGTATGGTGAGCAAGTCAAGGACCTTCGCCGAACGCATTGTCGCCAATCCGCTCTGGCTCGGCGTGACAGATGCGTTGTTGACCAGCACTTTGAAATGGAATTGGGTGAGTTTGATTCTGTTTCATCTCGTCAGTCGGACGCTGAGACCAAAGCAGGTTGGCGACAAAAATGAGGCCTCGGTGTCTCGACCCCAGTTGAACAATACCATTGTCTTCAGCATTGGCCCTGGAGCTCGTGACCAAGCGCTGTAAGTTGTTTTGCCCCCTGCTTTGACAGGTAACAAGATTGCTGAGAAGAAACCGCAATGATGTCCAGGCACCGCGACGATGCAAGTAAGTTCCCTCTTAACCTCGCTTGATCCGCCCTGGAGCAATGTCGTAAGAAGTTGTCCACGTCAACCTTTGCTGATAATTATCTTCACTTCGTTTAGTCCACCATGTCTACCATTCGGCTGCCGCAACGCACGAGATCGGCCGCGATGCAGGAATTGGCTTCTTCATTGCAGGAAAGAAGACTACTAAGCGGAATGGAGCCACACGCTTTATCCCAGGCTCTCACCTCTGGGACTATGCTCTAGGGCCAGCAAGCGAGTCACAAACATTCCATGCAGAGCTCGAGCCCGGCGACGGCTTCATGGTGCTGAGTGGGTGTTTCCACGGCGGTAGCGCGAACAAGACAGACCAGCCCAACGAAAACGGCGAGGTCGTGCCTGAAGAGCGCCTTGTGTATAGCACGTTCATGACGAGGGGATATCTGAGACAAGAAGAGAACCAGTACCTGGTGAATCCGGTAGAGAAGGTCCGTGAATTGCCAGAACCTCTCCAGGAGCTTGTCGGATATGGCCTTTCCAAGCCATTCTTGGGCTGGGTGGATCTTAAGGACCCCATGTTGTGGTTGCATCCTGAGAGACCAAAGAAGTCAGGGGATCTGTTTTAGGATTGTAGTCGGTTGAGACGGATTCGAGGACGACGCGAACGTGCAGTAGACCAGACGTCCAGCTTGGTGGGCAGGATGTAAAAGGCCACCACACACTTGGGCTCACGACTGGTCTCCAGCTGGTCTAAAAGGGGCACATCTCAAACATTCAGGCAGAGACATTTCGCCATGCTTTGCTGGCAAGAGTACCTATTGATGATATTGTTAAATATTGGACCACAAACCAACATACCTTTCGCAGGTCATTGCGTAGAAGAATATGGATCAAAGTGATGAAGTTGAAGTGAAAGGAGAGGTGGCGTACGTGGCTCGAAGGAATATGGCGAGTCAAAAGAGGATCACGTGCAGTGATATATGACTCGCCCCGAGACGCGACTTTTCCAACTCAGAAGATGCCACTTTCTTCCAGTGTCTTCAACCAGCGACCAAAAGTTCCCTTTTCGAGTGAAGTACATCTATCTTGAGGATTGTTAGGGAATTATTCGGGCGAGCCATCCTCTTTCGCCCGTTCCCCTGGCTTCCGTGCCGCTTTCTGCAATATGTGGTAAATGTCCATCCAAGTGCCCAGCAGCCAACCATGATGGACTAACCCCTGACGAAAGTAAACATGTCTTGAACGCCCAAGTATCTATCCGTTCGCCTTGCTGTAAGCGTGCTATATATCCTTCTGGGAAAAACGCCACTGACGAAGAAACTTCAGGTCGTAAATGGTTCGACTGTGCGGAATGCCATGCTGAACAGGAAGATCACCCCCTGTTGCAGAGCTTTGATATGGTATTTCGTCACTCTGTCCTAGAGATCATTATATTATGCCTCCTGCGACAGTTACTGACACGGGGGTCACAAATAGACGTTCATATGTAAGAAATGCAAGAAGGCCTTCCGGAAAAATACGAAAGAATGGGAGGACAGGTGGGTCGAAGCGATTCTCATCCCGAACGAGACGTTAGTGGCATTTGCTCATGGTTTCAGTGACGAGTATTGCCCAAACTGTGACAATCACTTTGTCATTGATGCAGTCACCCCGAAGGCCGCTTTGAAGGTCGAGAGTGAGGATACAAGGGTGGATGCGAGGTAAGTCGCTACAGTCTACACAAGGCGGACAAGTCATATTGATTCTGGTCATAGAATGATCAAAGACGAAAGAGTGAAACAATCAAACCAGCAGTCGATATTTGACCTCAAAGGCGGAACGGAGCGGCTGGGTTGATATGCAACAACGGGCGAGAAGAGCGGTGCAGCTACCTGCTTCAGAGAAGTCAGGCTCCACGCAAGGAGGGCAACATGGCGTCGAAATAGCCCTATGACTTGAAGCCGCCGGACAGCGCGCCCTCGGTAGCAGATAACAGGGAGAAGTAACCTGCGTTTGGAACAAGCTACCATTTGACCATGTTCACTGATTTGATCCGTTGCCACAACGCCAGTCGCTCATGCAAAGAATGAGTGAAGGCTAATGCCCCGTCTCTTTATTCATCTCCTCCACCCTCACCCTCAGCTAGCGGCCGGGTTGGTAGGGACGAGGTTGCCGATCCTGACGCTCTCGTCCCGGGCTTCTTTTTCGCCTGTTCTTCTTGCTTCTCCGCCTCGATGGTCTTGACATACTGTTCAATCTGTTCGGATGGCAGCATCTCAATTGTTTTGCCTGGAGCCATGATCGCAATCTCAATGTTCTTGGCACCTGTTTGCACGACTTCTAGGAGTGATTTGACGGTCAACGAAATGGTCGCCTCTCGGTCCATGTCATCTTTATGATTTCGCTCGAGAAATTCGCGCACAGTTTTGCTGGACCGGCCGATCGCATTTGCTTTCCTGCTTCGTGTCAGACGGCGGCTCTTAGAGTCAGAGATGACAACATACCAAGCAGAATAGATGCCTGAGGGTTCTGTTTGGTACAACTTAGGCTCCTTATCGCCCTTGTCGAACCCGATGATCAGGGTGCTGATGCCAAACGGCCTGACACCACCGCTCTGAGTAAATCGTTGCTGCACGCCGGCCACATATTTCGTAATGTATTCAATCGTAACAGGGTCTTCCACCGTGAGCCGATGAGACTGCGCCTCGACTCTGGCTTTGTCGATTAATATCCGGGCATCGGCGTTGAGTCCGGCGAAAGCAAGGCAGACGTGGGTGTCAATAAGACCAATCTTGGAGGGTGTGATTCGTGTGTCCTGTAGCTTCATGGCCGATCTCTTTTCGCAGCCCAAGACTACAATGTCTTTTCCTTTCACTCCGACCGCACAGGTTCCTCGCTTGACTGCTTCCAGGGCATATTCGACTTGGAACACGTGGCCATCGGGGCTATATGTGTTAGCAGCATTCGTGGGTGGAAAGAGCTGTAGTACCTGAAGACTGCAATCTGTTAGCACTCGCACTCAATGCCTCAGGAGCCACTTACCGGAAAGAGCACGATCGTAGCCGGAAGCCATGTTGTCTGAATATAGGTATTATTGTTGGCGCAGCTTTTCTAGAGACGTCCCTGCTATGCTCTTATTTGAAGAGGGTTTATCGACGATATATGGCAATGGAGGTTGGAAGTGCTTGCTAAATTCACTGACGGTACGCGGCGCGACCGTTGCCTTGAAAGTGAAGAGCCTCGATACTCCACCCTATTTCTACGGTGAAGTTTCTGCTGCTGCAACTGCGGAGCATAGAGCTTTCCGATTGGTCAACCGTCGAGCTTCAATCATCTCCGGCTCGACGTCTGCCAACTCTTCCACTGCACAAACAGAGATCAACCCCTCAATCCTCCCATCGCCATGGCTTCCATCGTGCCGGTCATGAAGAGGCAAATCCACCGGACCGTGGCTCAGACAGCCCGACTTTCTTCGCGGCAGTTTGCAAGCACCACACGACTGCTACGACAAGGCCCTGGAACCGGCGAGAACTTCGAACAAGCCAACGACCCTTCTGCGCGAAAACTCACTCCCAATGTATCCAAGACAAACGAGGTGCCGGTTGAGGCGAGGGGTAATCAGGATGCGCCCCTTCAAGAGTTGGTACCAGAGGCAGAGAAAGCCAGAACAATGCAGGCTCCAAACAGGGAAAAGCCGTGGTCAAGGAGTCAAATGCCCAGAGAGCTGGCGATGACAGGACCCAGATTTGAACAGACAATTATGGAAGCCCAGGTAATTGGATTACATCTATCTTTGGCATCAGCGCATACTGAGAAACGCCTCTAGCCCCGGCCCTTTGCTGCAATTGAGCTCATTCACAAGCAACCCGTCCGTTGGGTTAAGGAAAAGAGCGTGGCCTGTGATGGTGGCGGTGGTCCCTTGGGCCATCCACGAATCTTTATCAACTTGGACAAACCCCAGGTTTGCTGGTGCACCTACTGTGGTCTACCATACGTAAGATGGCTAGCCCATGACTTTTCAATGGATATATCGAAGCTGACGTTTCTGGTGCACAGGCTAAGGAAGAACATAAGAAATATCTTGAATCATTACCGTCGACACCATATCCTCTTGCACCTACGGGCGATCCAGCACAAGTCCAAATGCCAGCTACACCTAGTCAAAAAGGCGAGATTCAGGGACATTATCCATTGTTGAAGGGAGAGCAAGAGGCAGAGAGTGTAGGTTCATCGTCATTCGAGCAGAGATGATTGCTCGGACAACCCGACTGCAAGGGAATGCACCATGATTGTACATATCGTCGTTGGCTTGAGGGAACTGAGACGTGCGTGGATTTCTCTAAAGAGGCTCGTTTACAAAGCAGATTAGGCTGTAGCGAATAAGACGACCACTGGCCAGCTTCATTTCGTTCCACGTTCCATATTGGTCCGATATATTTCGTCTGCCTGTGCGCGTAGTGTTGCCCGGCATGGCACTTATGGATTCCAACCCTTTGTTGACCACCAGAAACGGCTGCGGTTCCCTTTTGCGGCCTCGCCCAATAACGCAGGTTGTATTGTGATTGGTCTGGCGGGTAGATCACGTGCCAAAAATCGGGCTAAGGATGAGCCGCGCTTTGTCAAAAACTCGGTGTTATCCAGTCCCAGATCCGAGTTCGCCTGCAAACGACCCCTTGACGCGCCTGAAATTCGTCCGACCGGGTCGAACCTTGGGAGTTTCTCTTCTAACTTTTTTTCCCTTTGTGTGTGTCTAGGCTGTTACTCGTGCTACACTTGTCAATGACGCTCGGTTCTTTAGGCCCCCGAACCTGTATGAGTCGTTCAAATGGCCAGACTAACCCCGCCTCGTATACTAGGGTGAAAGGGATACGGGAGAAATTTTCTAGCTCGAGTGTGTATATACTACACCGGTAGCCCTGTGACATCTTCACTTCGTCTCGATGATTGCTTGCTTCAATCTCGAATAATACTAGACTCTACCAGGGCGCTACCGTTGGTGTTGCTCGTTCGACCTACAATGGGTGTCTCAGAGGATCAACAGAACCCAACGAGGACCATGCCCGACAACACATCGGGCCGGGAGGAATCTCCTCACAAGAACGCGACTGAGCGTTCCGTATCTGGTTCTTCAACACCATCTGTCGATGTCGCCGAGAAGCCACCCGTCGAGCGGGACATCGGCCTCACTACCGACAGTTTGGCGAAGGAGACGGGGAAGGAGGAGGAAGTCGAGGTCGAAGATGAGGCTGAAGACACGAGCAACTATCCTTCTGGTCTGAAGCTTGTGACCTTGATTATCGCCCTCGATCTGGCTGTCTTCCTCGTCGCACTCGATCAAACCATCATTGCCACTGCGATCCCCAAGATCACCGACCGCTTCAACAGTGTCACCGACATTGGCTGGTATGGCAGCGCATATTTCCTGACCAGTACCGCACTCCAGCCCAGCTTTGGCCGCATCTACAAATTCTTCCAGATCAAATGGGTCTTTCTCTCTGCCATTAGCGTCTTCGAATTGGGCTCCTTGGTCTGTGCCGTTGCACCATCCAGCACCGCGCTCATCGTTGGGAGGGCTGTTGCCGGCATTGGCGTGGGTGGCATCTTTTCGGGAGCCTTGGTCATTATTGCCCACTCGCGTAAGCCAATTGCACACATCTGATATCGATGATCCAGGTACTGACAATGGTGACATAGTGCCTTTGATCCGGAGACCTCTGGTGTTTGGACTGTTTGGTGCTATGTGGGGATTGGCCAGTGTCGCAGGGCCTTTGCTCGGTGGCGTCTTCACTGATCACCTTTCGTGGAGATGGTGCTTCTATATCAAGTGAGCCGGTTTCTCTATTCCCTCTTCTCGTGCGAGTGCTGATGATATGGTGCAGCCTCCCTATCGGCGGCTTTTCGATGCTCGTCGTCCTGTTCGTGCTCCATATCCCTCAAGATCCTAAGCTCTCCGAGATGCCAATCCTCAAACGCATCCTCGAACTCGACCTCATCGGGGCGGCAATCCTCATTCCGGGCATCATCTGTCTGTTGCTGGCAGTCCAGTGGGGTGGATCGACTTACGCATGGAACAACTCGCGGATAATTGGGCTGTTCGTCGGTGCCGGGTGCCTTCTGATTCTCTTTGGCATATCCCAGTGGCGTTTGGGTGAAGATGCCACCATCCCACCGCGTCTCCTCACCAAGCGCACTCTGATGGCGTCCTGCGCCTTCGTCTTCTTCTTCGGGGCCGGCATTTTTGTTCTCATGTACTACCTGCCGCTCTACCTCCAAAGTGTCAAGGGATCCTCGCCAACAAAATCCGGCGTCCAGATCCTGCCATTGATGCTGTCCACCGTCTTCACTTCGATTGTCGCAGGGATCGCGGTGACCATTATTGGCTACTACACACCACTGATCATCGGTGCAGCCGCGCTCATGACCATTGGCTATGGCCTGATCAGCACTTGGACCGTTGACTCGCCCTTCCGCGAATGGTTCGGGTACCAGATCTGCGCAGGTCTTGGAACAGGCTTTGGTTTCAACCTTCCCCTTGTGGCGGTCCAGACCACCTTGCCCATGAAGGACATCCCCCAAGGGACTGTGCTGCTGATGTTCTGCCAATCGCTCGGTGGCGCGCTTTTCATCGCTGTCGGGCAGTCAGTCTTCGCCAACGGTCTGGTCAGCGGTGCCGCCAAGTACGCGCCCGACATTGACCCGCAGCTGCTCATCAACACGGGTGCCACGGCGCTCCGCAGCGTGCTGACTAAGATGGGCATGGAAGACCATATCCACCAGGTGATCGAGGCGTACGTGTATGCCTTGAAGGACTGCTACCGCGTCTCCGTCGCCGTGGCAGGTGTATCGTTTATCGCCGCATGTTTCTTCGAGTGGAAGAGCGTGAAGAAGGCGAAGCCCGCGGGCGTGGAAGCGATGCCGGCCATGGGATAGATATCCTTTTCTCTCTCTCTCTCTCGGAGGATTCTTGGGGGTTGGGAGGTATTTCGGGAGAAAATCTCAGCTCTTTCCATGGCGACACGTGTGAGACACTGTACTTTGATAGGGGTTTGTTTGTAGACAGCATTGCGAGCATTGGGGAGCTTATTTTGGAATTTCATGGTCTTCTTTTTCAATCCAAGCCATTCTGAGCCAAAGCTATATGAGACTGGGGACGAGACACGGCAACCGACAGACGTGTAGTAGAACTGAGGTAGTGTGTACACCATCCATCCAGCCATCTATCTATATCTATCTACACAGAGACGGCACTTTCTCTCCCTACCTTTCACTTTAGGCATTCTTCCGCCCAATGTACTATTTCCTTCGTCCTTCTTCTCGCTCAGATTCTCCAATTCCCTTTCCAGTCGGCTTGCTTGCTTGCTTGCTCTGCCCTGACCACAGGACTCAAGTTCACGAACACGTGCCACTGCAGTGGCTATACCACGTCACCGAACAACGAACCACGAACCCAAGGTGGATAAAGGGAAGCTGCTGAGCTCTTTCGATCTCCTTCCCTCTACCGATCTGCCAACAATCCGGGGAAAGGAAGGGAGCCATGTGCGCGGACGGAACAGGAAGAAAGGAGATAGACCATTTCGTGCAAGCGTAAGTATAAGTACAAGTGTGAGAGTGTGTAGATGTGTATGTAGGTATGTAGGTATTGTACGAGGGTGCCGTAGGCACCATAGGCACCGTAGGCACCGTAGATACTGTAAGTACAGTAGGTACAACAGGTAGAGATAGCTAGGGGGGACAGGTAGGGAGAGATTAAACGCTATCCGCCAACCAACCAACCCAGCGGGGATTGAAGAAGAGAAAAGAACCAACAGAAAAGCATTTCTTTCAATACACATTTGTGAAAACCCATTTTTCCCCCCTTTCCTTCGCCCGGCCCTTCAAAACGCGTAGAATGGATTTGGGCATTTGCATTTGCATTTGCATTGCATTTGGCTTTGTTGTCCCCTCTGTGCACACACACAGACACACACACGCTCACATGCTCAGACATATACATAAGACACACACATTGACACACAAAAATATAGACACACACACACATACACATACACGGATGGTTGGATTATACGATATAAC